CAAATGGGACCTAATGAAACTTAAAAACTTTTGCACAGCAGAAGAAACCATAAACAAGATGAATAGACAACCCTCAGAATGGGAGAAAATATTTGCAAATGAAGCAACTGACAAAGGATTAATCTCCAAAACTTACAAGCAGCTCATGCAGCTCAATATCAAAAAACAAACAACCCAATCCAAAAATGGTCAGAAGACCTAAATAGACATTTCTCCAAAGAAGATATACAGATCGCCAACAAACACATGAAAGGATGCTCAACATCACTAATCCTTAGAGACATGCAAATCAAAACTACAATGAGATATCATCTCACACCAGTCAGAATGGCCATCATCAAAAAATCTAGAAACAATAAATGCTGTAGAGTGTGTGGGGAAAAGGGAACCCTCTTGCACTGTTGGTGGGAATGTAAATTGATACAGCCACTATGGAGAACAGCATGGAGGTTCCTTAAAAAACTAAAATTAGAACTACCATATGACCCAGCAATCCCACTACTGTGCATATACCCTGAGAAAACCATCATTCAAAAAGAGTCTTGTACCACAATGTTCATTTCAGCTCTATTTACAATAGCCAGAACATGGAAGCAACCTAAATGTCCACTGACAGATGAATGGATAAAGAAGATGTGGCACATACATACAATGGAATATTACTCAGCCATAAAAAGAAACGAAATTGAGCTATTTGTAATGAGGTGGATGGACCTAGAGTCTGTCATACAGAATAAAGTAAGTCAGAAAGAGAAAAACAAATATCATATACTAACACATATATATGGAATCTAAAACGGAAAGAAAAAAAAGGTTCTGAAGAACCTAGGGGCAGAACAGGAATAAAGACGCAGACATAGAGAATGGACTTGAGGATACGGGGATGGGGAAGGGTAAGCTGGGACAAAGTGAGAGAGTGGCATGGACATATATACACGACCAAATGTAAAATAGATAGCTAGTGGGAAGCATCCGCCTAACACAGGGAGATCAGCTCGGTGCTTTGTGACCACCTAGAGGGGTGGGGTAGGGAGGGTGGGAGGGAGATGCAAGAAGGAGGAGATATGGGGATATATGTATATGTACAGCTTATTCACTTTGTTATAAAGCAGAAACTAACACACCATTGTAAAGCATAATTGTAAAGCAATTATACTCCAATAAAGATATTAAAAAAAATTAAAATGAACACAGAATCCAAAAAGAAAAGAACCAGGGAAATCTAATAATTTAAATATATTTCCCTTAAAATGTTTATATTTAAGAAGTGGCGTTTAAACAGTTAAACTTTAGTTGTCAAGCAATGAAGTTTTCTTAGAGACCCAGGCCATGACAAAAATAGTAATAAAAAAAAACACTAGTGAATGATTATGTGCATAGAGTATTTATAATTTATATGTGATATATACCCCGAATAAAGTAGGTTCCAGAGATGGCAAGGCAGAGTTAAGAGTGAGAAAGTTCAGAAATGTGTTTCTCAATTGGCATGCCCTATAGGAATGAATATGGAGCGTCTGTCTAGGAGAAGCTGTAGTTTTTCCTTTCTGTCATTGAACAAAGCACACTCTGCATAAAGCCTATAGGACTCCTCTGCTGCTAATTGTGCTCCTCTTATTTGCAGTATGACAGATTATTGGCTTCTGTGGAAATGGCTGAAGTCTCTACTTTTAATGAAAGCAATCTTATTATTTTTCTAGAGTTTTATTAACTTTCAGACATAGATAAATGTAAAGATTTAATCACACAGTGTATCATGTTTAGTACATGCTTTTGATTTCAACAATTTCTCAGGGAGGATAAATTATTTTAAGAAAGGCAGCCTATAAGCAATGATTATCAAAAACCTACCTTTAATCATTTGTTACATGATATTTAATATAGTAATAATTCATGTCAAATTGTATATGACCCTAATTGACAGTTAATGATAATGTGATATATAAATATATTAAATAATACTGAAACTAATACCTGAGACTGGATTTTTTTCTTATCAATTAAAAATTCCACGAGGACACATGAATTACGCAGCTTTGAATCTAGTACATTCGAGTTTTTCCTGGGGCTAGATCAGCCTTTAGTATGACCCTGATTTAATAACCATATTGACAAAAAGCTAAATTATTTTACAGAACTGTTGAAAGTAGAAGCAACGATGACTATGATAGAGCTTTTAACTTAGGTGTGTGCTCAAAATTTGAAATGTAGCAGGAAGAGTTGAAGGAGCAGTTTAAACGTAACATTAGGCAACTGTATCTAATTAGGGCATTACTAAAATGTAAATTCAAATTTGGACAGAAATAATTTTCTAAATGCTTCTTTCAAAAATATAATTTATTTTTTATTCTGTGAAAGAAATATTTGTGGCAACATGTTTTTGAGTACTGATTTTAATTGCTTTGTAGAAACAGCAGTATTTGTTCTTGCTAGGAAGTTTGCTATGCTGATGTTGTATTTAAAACATTATTAAAATGTCAAGATTTTGAAAGTGAATGTACCAACACTAATGTAGCACACTAAAGAATGTTTTTTCCCAAAGAAGGGATATTTAGAATAGATTTACTAGAAGTTGTTAAAACCAGTGTGAAAATTAAAATATGATAAATATGCAACAATGATTATTATGATTATTAGTGCAGAGGATGGCCTGATTAAGCGAGTAAATGCAATGCTTTAAATGGATAGATAATGTACAGGCAACAACCTGCAAAAACGATGATGCTTACTTCTTTTTATTTATGAAAAAAATTGATTAGGTGAAAAGAACAGATTCCATATTAGGTAATGATTTATATAAAATGGATATAAGTATATTATACAATCTTGTATTATATAATGGATTCCATTAATATTTCACATTCACTTAACACATACTATATATGTCAGACATTTTACTAAGTACTAAAACAAGATGAATAGGAGAGTTTTTTCCCTTAAGATGATTACTTTTTGACAGGAAAGGTAAACCTAAATCATATAAATAAATATGTATCTATTCACTCATATGATAAGTGTAGAATTAAATATTTGGATTATTATAAATATTTACATCATGGAAAAGTATACCAAAATAAAGGACCTCTGAATCAACAAAATTCAAAATTTTCTGTATATTCATAAAGAATAATATAGACCTACATTTAATCAAATTGCTACATATATAGCCATTATAACTACAATTGTTTTTTAGTGTTGATTATCAGTCTCTTTTTTACTCCTCCTAGACAGAGGTTACTGCGGACTGTTTGGGATGATGTTGGTGTTTTGCTCCTTCTTTTCTCATGTCTGTTCATGTGTTTCAAGTCTGTGCACTGCCAATATTGATTTCTGAATATCCGTTGGTGTGTAAATGACTTGAATCATAGCAGATATAATTCTTAATTATGTTCAGAGTTGCTTAACTTTCAATCTTTGCAGTGCAAGGTTTGTATCACACATTCACACACAGACACACTCATATTTCTTTCCTTCTATTTTGCTGATTTTAGGATGGAAAACTGGCCCATCCTCTTTTGGCCATAATGGCTGGATTGAAAGTAGATATTACAGTGTTGTGCTTTGCTTTGTTCTGTTTTTTGTTTTTTTAAAATTGAATTATTAGATGTTGCTCTTGAGGATTTATATACTGGGTATATGGTTCTGAGGAGATCTCTGTAGGAAACAGATTTCTGCTAGGATTAATTTTAAGCCCACCAAATTTCATCATAGAATAAAAGGCTTTCAACTAATACTGCTTTTCCATGAACAATTCAACCAAATTTTTTTTTTCTACTTAACATCCCTTACATGTATCTCTTTACTACCTGACTTTAGGTTTACTAATTGAATTAGCTGTAATGATAGAATCAAGAACATTCAATTTAGAAAAAGAGGAATAAACTTGAAATAATACATCAGAATCAAATGAAGCCAAACTTCATTTTAAATTATTGCTTAATATTTAATTTTTAGTATAGGCCTCCCAGAGGGCTTCAATTTGGTTCAAGATCATCGCCTACTTGTGGAGTGCCTTTTGTTTTTCTCTATTTTCTTAGTACTTGTTTTAGGTGTTTCAGTAGCCTATGTGGATTTGGAGTCTCATGGGAATATGTTGTGATCTCCCGTAAAACTTGCTTTCTATTTTATTTTATGTTCATTTTAAAGATGGCGTAGTAAAGCGCTATTGAAAGTGAAGAAATTCACATCAGGGTAGAAAGTTATTAAAGTACCAGACTTACGTATTTGCCATATATTTCAGATGTAATAACAAAAGAACAGTTTTCCTTCCTTCTTTTTAAAAACTAATCATTGTTGATTTCTTTTGTACCACTTAACTAAATAATTGTCTTTTAAACTTAATATGAATTTATCAAAGCCAAATTCAAAATAAGTATACCAATGTCAGATCAAGTCTAAAATATTTGAACACTTTTAACACTTTAAGAAGTTTTATTGACTTTGTTGACTCTTGGAAGATTGGCATGTATGTCAGGGTCCAGCATCATGACCATAGCAATTTAGGATCAGGATCATTTCCTTATTTTTAACATTAAAATGAGGGGATTGGAGGATGTAGGCTATTTGTTCTTCTGAAAATCTAAGCTTTCACTCTCTTAGTCTTCAAAGTTGATTCTGACTCTGCTTCTGGTTTTCCAAAATATGTCATAAAATACTGCAGCAGGAGTGCTCTATAATTCTTTTTTTTTTTCCAGTTAGTGCTTTATTTTTTCATTCTCCATAGAATGCTGATTTTGTAACATTGATTACAGTTTGATATGTACCATTACAACAAATGTTTCACTTTATGAAAGATCAGATACGGATACACACATCCCGTCCCATTGGCAGGACCGCCTAGGTACGGGGAAGGAATTTGCCGACGTACTCGGAACTGTTTCCAAGGTTTTCTCGGGCTCGGGTTTGTGTCGCGGCTGCTGGTCCTGGGAGCCAAGGCAACGGAGAGTCTCCCAGCTCGCGAGAGCGCGCCCTTCTCCCACGGCTTCGGGGACCCAGCAACAGCTATGGATCCGGTGTCTGGCTCCCGCAGCCCGGACTGGGAGGTCTCGGGCTCCGGGGGGAAGCGTCGCAGTTCGTCAAAGAGCCCTAAGCCCAGCAAAAACTCTCGCTCCCCGCGGGGCCGCCGCTCTCGCTCGCACTCTTGCTCTCGGTCCGGGGACCGGAATGGCTTTAGCCATCAACTGAGTGGCCCCAGCCAAGGCTCCCAAAACCAGTCCTACCGCTGCCGCTCGCGGTCACGCTCTCGAGAGCGGCCCTCCGCGCCGCGGGGCGCCCCTTTCGCTTCTGCCTCCTCGTCCGCCTATTATAGCGGCTACTCACGCCCCTGCGGGAGCGACAAGCCATGGCCTAGCCTCCTGGACAAGGAGAGGGAAGAGAGCCTGCGGCAGAAGAGATTAAGTGAGAGAGAGAGGATTGGAGAATTAGGAGCTCCTGAAGTATGGGGACTTTCTCCAAAGAATCCAGAACCAGACTCTGATGAACATACACCAGTAGAGGACGAAGAGCCAAAGAAAAGCACCACTTCAGCTTCTACTTCAGAAGAAGAAAAGAAGAAGTCTAGTCATTTAAAAGAAAGGTCCAAGAAAAGGAGGAAGAAAAAGTCGTCTAAAAGAAAACACAAGAAGTATTCTAATGATAGTGACAGTGACTCTGATTCTGAAACAGACTCCAGTGATGAAGATACAAAAAGGAGAGCAAAGGAAGCCAAGAAAAAGGAAAAGAAGAAGAAACGCAGATCGAAGAAATATAAGAAAAATAAGTCTAAGAAGAGCAGAAAAGATTCCAGTGACTCATGTTCTAAAGAGTCCCAAGAAGAGTTTCTGGAGAATCCCTGGAAGGATCGATCAAAGCCTGAAGAACCCTCAGATTTGATTGGTCCAGAGGCTCCCAAAACACTTGCCTCTCAAGATGATAAACCTTTGAACTATGGCCATGCTCTGTTACCTGGTGAAGGTGCAGCTATGGCTGAATATGTAAAAGCTGGAAAACGTATCCCACGAAGAGGTGAAATTGGCTTGACAAGTGAAGAAATTGCATCATTTGAATGCTCGGGTTACGTAATGAGTGGTAGCAGGCATCGCCGAATGGAGGCTGTGCGACTGCGAAAAGAGAACCAGATCTATAGTGCTGATGAGAAGAGAGCCCTTGCATCCTTTAACCAAGAAGAGAGACGAAAGAGAGAAAACAAGATTCTGGCCAGTTTTCGAGAGATGGTATACAGAAAAACTAAAGGGAAAGAGGACAAATAAGGATTTTCTGATTGTTCATCAGACATTTTTAACAACAAAAAAGAAAGTTTGGGTTCCATATATACACACAAAAAGATTACCATGATCTGAAAAAGCTTTACAGTGCTACTGTGTCTTCTATTTAATTCTTTCAGTCCTTCTATAAAAAGCTGCTTATTGATGCCTCCACCCCAAAACCAACAAACAAACCAAAAAGCAAACTAACCCACAGACTTGTTGAATTGAAAATGTGAACATTAGTTTTAAGACTCTTAATAGGCTTATTAAAAATGGTTATTTCAAATATAAAATATTGGGAAGTCTCCTGTTGTGCCAATGTAAGTACATTATTTCTATCTGAGCTGTGTTTAGATCATTATTTGAATACTAGAAATGGATGGGAGTCAACAATGATCAGGAGTTTAATAAGGAAAAATATAATGAGTCATTGTTTTCATTGTTTTAACTTGGTTGCTTCATAAGGATGAAGCTAAAATGATGTTAAACGTTTTTAAAGTCTGTCCTTCGTAATAAGCAGATTTCATTTTAAGCATTGTTAAACTTTTCAGTTTATTTTTTACATCTGTCATTCAGTTTAATCTGTAACTTCATATAGAACCCCTCACTTTCTCACTTTTTTATGGCTACTGTTGGCTTTTAAGTTTGGGGGAAATGGAAAATTCTGGGACTGTGAGATCGTGATCTTTTTCCTTCCCTCCTTTTGTTAAAGTTTAGTTGTTAGGACATACCAGTGAAGGGGGAGGGGATAGTAGAAGTTTTGGCTGTTTTTGTTAAGGTTGTTTTGAGCTGTGTTATTATGTGCCTAGGATAAATTTAAATTATCTGAGTGATGGGGAATTTCTGACTTTGCTGTTATAAAATGCCCTCTCTCCTTATAATAGTTTTAAAGTTTTTTTTTAAGTGTTTTTTTGAAGAGTACACTGCATTTATTTAACCCCATAAATTATAACATCTTAACACATGTAAAATTTTTGTATTTTTAAAGTGCTGTGAAAGATATTTATTTTTTTTAACAAGTGGAAAATAATGTTCTTTAAAAGACATCAAACTTTTAGTGGAAAATGATATTACCAGAGGCACGTAAGGATTTGTTCATCCTCTTCAAGAAATGGGATTTTTATGTAAAATATATATGTAGCACTGAATGCCAAAATGATGGGTATGTGTGATTGGAATTAAAAATGAGATTTGCTAATAAAAAAAAAAGAAAGATCAGCAAAAATACATCAGCAAGGATATAACTAGTGCATTTACTAAAACACATCATAATCATAAAACCAAGTGATCACACACAATAATCTTTACATTTGACATACCAGTTACATCCTAGCAGAGCCAGTGTGTTTGGCAGGTGATTAAAATATGTAAGTAATGACACTGATTAATCTTAACACTTCTGAAGTGTTAATTCTTTATCAGTTAAACTTAAAATAAATCAATAAGAGTATTGAGACATAACAAGGAGGAAATCCAAAATTTGTTGAACAGAGACAGTAGTAAACAGTAGGAAGAGCACTGAATTGGGAGCTAGTACATTTGGATCCTTGTCTTATCTTTGGCCCTGGATGGATGACCTTGGGCAAGTATTCTGGGCTACATGAATCATTCACTCTTAAAATGAGAGAGTTGGCTGGATGGTTCTCTAAACTCTTTATAGATTTAGCTTTCCATAATTCTAAAATCTTTGACACCGATTCATTTTTGTGTTGTAAAGTGAAATGTCTAGCAATACTAACTTGGCAGTTGGGTTGAGTCCAGCTCTACCACACAAATACAACTTGTTGCTTGTGTTCAAGTCTCTTCCTTCTGAGCCCCATGACAGCCCTATCCTCAAATTAACAAACAGTAATGACAAGCTTCAGGAGGTAAACAAGCTTGTCCTCCACTAGACACAAACTCAAGACCCCCAAAAACATGGTTATTAAGAAAAGCTATAATGGAAGAACTATGCGGGAAACCCACAACATCCTCTTTGGTAAATGGTACAATAACACAATTCATTAATAGAAGAAGGCAGGTACAGATATTAACTACAATACATAGTTTTCAACTGTTATTTGTGAACCTGCACAAAAAATATACACACAATTAGAACTGTATCAATATGAACTATAAATTCACGGTCTAGATGTACACGGGAGCCTCTCTCATGCTGCTAATCTGAAGGAGGCTTATTGTAGTTTCACGTGTTTGTAACTCTACAGGAGGAAGCTGGGATTTTTTTTACTAACATTGGCTTCTATTCCATTATCTGAAAAGCCCACCTCTCTCACATAATCACAGAAATTAAAGATGTCCAAGCCCCCCTTTAGGGCATTTCCTCCATCTCCTACTTTCCTTATCAGATTACTGTCTTTTTGTTCTAAAACACTGAATGACTGGCTTCCATCAGCTCCCTATCTGAAAATCAAGTAGACTTTATCTTTTTTAATCTAAGGAATACATTTGTCCGTATTTCTTCCTAATATTTTAATGTAATTCCTCTCTCAATTGTATTTACACAGTTCTGAATATTTAACTACAGTATCCATTATAGAAATTAATCCAATTCGATGAACATGAATGTGCAAAGCAAAATTACTTTGAAAATGTCGTTTTCTTAATAAACATTATTCTTTCATTAAAGTGCTTCCCCTTTGACAGCAGTGATTACTTTAAGCAACTCTATGAGCCTTGAAACATTTTCCAACATCTCTAACCCGTGCCCCCTTCCAGAAGATATAAAACACCCTTCACTGTCCTCCTCCCTCCTGAGGGGACTGAGGATTTTTACCCTACAAGGTCTCTTCTCCTGATTGAGAATCCCTGATACTGAAGAAATGGCATCACCAGCCGTATATTTGCTGAGCTTTGCCTTTCCATAATTTGACTATAAAACAACAGATTTATTTTTGCCTTCCCAGAAACGTCATTTTTTATATTACCAAATATGCTTTTCGAACTCTACAGCTCCCTTCTATCCCTCATTCCTTACAAGATTTTAATACACTCCTTTATGGGGAAAAGACATCCCCCCTTGAGAATCACTGAACCAAAATATAATTTCTGAATTACTATTCATGATAAGGTTCAATAACTAAGTTTGAGAAAACAGTATTCAATTTAAAGATGGAAAAATACTGTATCATTGATAAAATGAATATTATAATATTGAGTATATTCTAATTATTAAACCAAATTATTTAAACTTCATTCTTGAAAACTAATGTAGAGACTTGTTTTTAAAATGATCTACTGAAATCATAATGAAATGCACCTTTCATACTGGTAAATTATAATAACAAATTATATTGCTTTCCTTTGTTGAAATGTTTTCTTCGATTATGTAATCCACTCATTTTCAGATATTCAGAACTAAAACTTTTAGATTTTTCTAAATAAATTTTTATCAGTTTCACCTAGTTTAGTAACTTAGAATTGAATATATTTCTTCTATAGAATTGCCAACTAGCACAAACATCTCTCTGACTGATGCACAATGACAAGAATATAAAATAGCCATGTCTGCAAGAAATACTTATATTGTCTTTATTTTTCCAAATTCTAATAGAGTGAAATTCTGTATACCCTGAAGCTAGAATGATAATGCATATAGAGTTTTAAAAATAGTTTTGGAGAAAATATGGATGCATTTCTTTCCAAATATTAAAAATGATCTTCTGCGTCTAAGTTAAGCAGATTGGAAAGAGGAAACAGGAAAGGTCTACCTCCAGATCCAAGGTGAAGGGCCTAAATAAAATCATTCAACACAGCCCCCAACAAGGCACAATAGTTTAAAATTTTACACCAGTGACACCAGGGAGGGGTCCCACTCCCATGGCTGTCAGTATTCTAAATCAATGCGCTTTGGGATGGTGTTCAGCTAGATGTTTGAAGTTCCTTCATATACTGTACCAATCTTACATCTCGGAAGTATTTTTCCACAGGGTAATTTTTGTTGTAGCCTACTCCTCCCATCCGCTTGATACATTTGCCAGTTATTAGGCCCTCAATCTCTGATGCATAGTACTTGGCCATAGATGATTCTTTAATGAATGGCCTTCCAGCTTCTAAAAACCTTGCAGCGTTGTATGTGAGTAATCTTGCAGCTTCTAGCTGGGTGGCCATGTGAGCCACTTGGTGTTGGCATCCCTGAAAATCAAATATTCTTTTGCCAAACTGTTCCCTTTCTTTAATATATGGAATAGTGTAGTCAAAACATCCTTGAGCCAGTCCCAGCATCTGTGCGGCCATTCCTATTCTACTTTCATTAAGACCCCCAATGGTTTACTTATAGCCATGTCCAATTTGTCCCAGGATATTGGCTTCTGGAACCTTGACATTTTCAAATGTTAATGGGCAAGTAAAAGAAGCTCTGCTTCCCATTTTGTTCTCTGGTTTCCCTATATGAAGGCCCTCAGTATGACAATCTACCAAGAAATAGGTAATTCCTGTATACCCAAGAGTAAGGTCTACATTTTCCATCACCATGAAGAGCTTGGCATCCTTGCCGTTGCTAATCCACATCTTTGACCCATTGATGACATAATAATTTCCCTTTTTATCAGGTTTGGTCTTCAAAGCAAATGAATCGCTACCTGCTCCAGCCTCTGAAAGGCAGAAACTTCCCATTTGTTCCGTAGCTAGCTTGGGCAAATAGATAGCCTTCTGTTCTTCTGTTCCATATTTTCCTAATTACTGTGTTCTGGATGTCACATACCAGAGCCAAAGATGCATCAACTTTGGCTAATTCCTCTATCACTAGGATAGAGGAAAAAATGAAGCTCCTGTTCCTCCATATTTTCTGTCAATTTCAATACCCATCAACCCTTGTTGAAATAATCCTCATATTACTGATTTTTCCATTTTTGAATTTTCATCCATTTTTGAAACCAAAGGAGCAATTTGTTCCTGGACAAATTTTTTAACCGTGCTCTTTATCATCCTCTCTTCATCTGTAAATGTTTGCAGAGGGGCATAGGGTAGGCCATTATTTGTTGCTTTGAGTCCAGCTTCTCAAAGCTGGGAAGATTTTAAGACATCAGGAGGATTTTTCCAGGAAGACAGGCAAATTGGGAAGTTTCTTCTTAACAGTGCGCTGCCACACAGCAGCCGAACCGTGGCTCCCTCCTTCTGTGCCCCAGGACAATCGCCCTATAATTCTTTTCGTTTTAAGCATATT